AACAGAATGTCATCTCTTTGTGAACCGAGGCGAAGCGAAAATTGACGTGTTGTGTGAAAAACTGGATGGTTTAGAAGAAGGTTGAAGCAAAAGCGTCGTTCGCCATCACAGATGCACAAAAATATGTTTCAAGAAATGCCCGAATTGGGTCACAATTCCTGTGAAAGAAAGAAGAAATTTGTTCGAACCCTGGGTATGATTGAGATGGGTGATGGGGAAACTTACGGCCTAGTAAACACAGTCACCTGGCTTTAATGGCTAAAGGTCATTATCACTGGAGATCAGGAGATTGGGGATCAAATTACAGGGTGTAATGGACGTACAGGTGCCAGCATTGCCGTGAATCTTGTTTCCTTGGTCTGGAATGTGTGTGTGTGTGTGTTTATGAAGCAAAGGTTGGGTAGAGGAAATCTGTGAAGGCCAAGGTTGAAGAGAGATTTCTTTCCCCCTCGTTTGCGATCATCTGACTTCATTTGCAAGCTCGGGAATTTTCCCTTGAATTGCAATTTAAAAAAATTATTTTTCACTTTCTTGGAACAATGTGTACTGGCTTTAAAAAAAAAAAAAGACCTGTACTTCTGTTGCCTGTTGCATTCTTCTGCGAATTCCATCGCAGTGAATCTTTGCAATAAGTGTCTAATTGCAAAGAACTTTCTCAATGAAAAAGATTAATTATGTATGCAAATACCAGGTATAACTTTATTTTTTTTAGAAATTGAGGAAGAAAAAAGCTGGTGCACTTGTTACCTTGTGATACATTTTTGAAGGAAAATTTTTGAAAGCAGGTTCTGTTACATGTGAGTACAGTACTTGCAAGATGAGGAATTGAAGAGGAAGTGTGTGGCACCAAGACTCCTTGTCCATGAGAAACAATGATTTGAGCCAGTGTTTCCCAACCTTTTTGGGCCTATGGACCAGCAAATTTCCACACAAAAAAAAAAAATTGATGGACTGGCAAAGTTTCATAAAATTTTTGCAGACTCAAAAATTTGTTGTTTGGAAGACTTCATTGCAGGTGTTGAAAAAGTCTCTGATTTTTTCAAATTAAATAATTTAATTCAATTTCAATTAAATTTGTATTAAATAACCCCCTTAGCATGGGTAGAAAACTCTATGGAACCAAAATAATCGTCATGCCAATAAATTCTTTGTATGGACAAAATCGTTGTAAAGAGAGTCTACGTTTATTATTATTGGGTGTCGTGAAATAAATTTAATGCTGAATATAATCCTTGGAGCTGTTTTGCTGATTTTTCTGAGAATAATGACATTTTCCAGTTTGGTTCTATTTTGAACTAAAGTCGAACATTGACTTTGAGGTTTTCCAAAGTTGCTTTAAGAATAAGCGAAACGCTAGTACCTTATTTTTTATGAATAGATAATGCTTTTTTTTCCTCTGGCGAAGCTCCAACTTTCAGGGATGACTTATCAAGAATGTGCAAATGTGACCTGACCTTCGCATTGAGTCAGGTTCAAGATGCTGAACAGAACTGTATTTTTATTTTTTGCCTCTCAGAAGAGCTCGGTTTTTTTTTCAAATTTCAGGCAGATTTCAAGGGCAATTTTTGGGATTGATTTACGATATTCTTGATGGAAACGTTTGAATCCTTTTCATTAGTTTTAAATTATTATTAAAAAAAAATTAGAACCTTTTAACTTTAAAAAACACACCTTTAAAGTCTGTCTCAAAGTTCCCGTTAAAAGCCCTAATTAAATGTTATAAGAACTACCTTTGCAAACTTAGGAAAAGTAATCAAATTTATTTCATTTTTTTTACTCTCGGAAAATTGATTTTTTTGTGTGGAAATTTCAGACAGAGTTTCAAGGAAAATTTTTGCGATTCATTTACAATACTCTTGATGAAAATTTTTGAATCATTTTTATTATTGTTAAATTTCTTGATTTTTACACGTTGAAAAATTCATTATTAATAGAAATTTCGGATGGAGTTTCAAGGACAATTTCTGCGATTCATTCACAACATTCTTGATTTATAAAAAAAAAGTATAAAAAAAAAGATTCTTTTTGTATCTTCATTCATTGGATTCAAACGCGGAAGCAGCTCTAGAGAAGAAGTACTGTAGGGGAATTTTATTTTTGTGCTTCTGTAAATGCGCCGTCCTTTTCGAAAAAAATTTTTTTTTACAACTCTCCGGCCTCACCCACAGGTCAATAAACGTTTTGTCGGAGTTCCCGAAAGAACTGCGTAGTGACTTCGCGACCTTGAATCTATTTTTGCGCGCGGGTATACAGTACGAACATTTTGTGAACATTTTTTTTGTTTCGTGCCTTTTCGCAGAACTTCATTCCTCACTGCGAGGAAACTAGCGGAAATGCGTCTTTCCCCGCCCGTCGAAGTCCGAGTATTGGGGCAACGATGGCGTAGGACGACTCCAAGCTGTGCAACGTTCGCCTTTGCCTGGTGGCTCCAACGCTATTTTACGAACTCACGGCGCCCCCTCGAGTGTTGTGTTTCTCTCGATGCACCCAGGCAGTTCTGGTGGCGACCAATTTACAGTCTGGCTGGTGGGTCCTGAGGCTTTTGTGAACCCTCGTGTATCCCGTTTATCAAGACGTGGGAGCAGAGTGCGGCGACGTTGTTGTTTTTTGCCGCCACGGCGCCGGAGTTGGCGGAATTTGGCGGCAGTTATTTGGATAAATTGTTGCGTGACTCGGTGTGCGGTTGTGTTCGAGAGTGAGGAGTTTCAGAACAAGTTGATGGACTTGAGTGTGCGGATGATTTTGAGGCGAAGATGGGTCCGAATTTGTGTCGATTTGCCTTTTCATGAAGGACGACGTCTTTTGTACGGGGGAAATGGTTGAGGAATTATTAATATGATTTTGGATCTGCAATCGGGGAAAATTGTTTGCACATGGGCATTTTCAGTCTTTAGAACTACGTTCCTTCGATAACCCTGGACTTTTCATAATAAAACACTGCTTTGTAAAAATATCTAAAGACCATGTCATAAAGCTTTGTCTTAAAGACTTCTTGTTATAATAAAAATTGCAAAAGTTACTCACAAAAATACAGTGAGACCCCAAGGCATGGACGTAATTGTTGCATCAAGAGTGTCCTAATGTTGGAATATCCCTAAGTCAAGTCTCATTTTCCCTTGGACTTCAATCCTAGTGTATTTAATTGGTTCTCCTTTTTGTCAGACATCAAAAATAAGTCCTCAAAAAATGTAATACAAATTTTTTCCCTCAACCTCAAGTTGTAGAAAACAATAGTGCAGAACAAAACCACATAGAATCTGGTCTTTTGGTATCAAAATGAGATAAAAAAGCGAAGAAAAATAATGTCTTTCTTGAGTATGCACATATGATAGAAAAAAAATAAATCTGAAAAAAGGAGCACAAAATCAGCTTGCTTTTGATTATAAATCTGAGTGAATTCATCATGAAATATTTTTTCAATAGCTTGATTTGTACATAAGATATCAAAATTAAAAATAAAATTTTCCAATTTTTTGGAAAAATTCAGAGAAGTGTCCCTAAATCATGCAAAATGTCCCAATGTCAGGTCTTGTTTTTTTTTTGGTTTTCAAGTTTCTCTAAGTTGAATTGTCTGTATGTGGGGGTGTCCAAGTATTGGGGTCTCACTATTCCATTCTTCAAGAGGGGAATCTGAAAATCCCTTGAAGACAAGGAGATTATTTCAAATTTCAATAGGGTACAATATTTGAGAAAAAAGAAATTACGGTGCCCGTAGTTTGCTTTTACAGTATTTTAAATTTCCTTCAAAGCAAGAAGGCTAATATATTACACAAAGGCAAGTTTGGTATTACTTTATTCTCTGTTGTGAGGGAAAATGTGGCCCATTTGTTTTTATTTTTCAAGGGTTTTTTTTCTTTGTCAAAACCCTCGAAAAAACTGTGTTCGCTTTATGGTACAAATTCAAGAGCCTCGAGTTTCTTGAAATTTTTCAAAGATGCGATGTATTTCCGTGCATCCTTCAGTGATAAGTTTTGCATGATCCAGAGTGACTTCATTGAACCGTGACTGTCACAAAGTACTTGCATCTCATTGTTATTTATTTTGTTATCGTATATCTGTGGTATGTCTTTGGGAATCTGACTCGGTATTCGTTTAATTTGTGATTCGGAAAAGACTTTCAGTGCACGCAGCTCATGAAAACGATGGAGCGAAATTTTTGGATATTCGTGTGTGTGATATTTTTTTGAAATTTGGATTTTTTTTATTATTGCGGAACGGCTTTTAATATTTTGCGTCAATTTTGTGGATGAACGGTATTGGCGAAGTTCGTTGTTTTGTTGGAAACTTTTTTTTTTCGATTTCCAGGTGTTTTGTGTGAGTTTTTTGTTTGTTTTGTTAATATTGTGATACTTGATGGGACATGGCGCGGGTGTTGCGACCGTCGCTGTGGCGCAGTGTGAGACTTAACCAGACCTGTGCCTCGGGGTCTAGGCAGCCTGGGATTGTGAGAGTTCGGTTTGCTCCTAGTCCGACAGGTGAGGTGTTTGTTTGAACTGCTTTTGTGCGAAGGTATAAGTTGATTCCGGCAAACTGAGCGTGTCTCGGTTTGTGGACTTTTTTTCATGGGATTGTAAGAGCTTGTTTTAATCCTTTTACAAGAATTGATTAGTTTTTTTGAGCTCTGTTCAAATAAATTGGTTGGTTGTGGTAAGGTGAGCATGTCTCAGTTAATGGACTTTTCAAAATATTAATTTTGATGTTTTATGGGATTGTGAGAGTTTGGATTATTCCTAGTGCAAGATTTGATTATTTTCTCTGAGCTCTGTTTGAATAAATGAGTTGGTTATGGCAAGGTAAGCATGCCTCGGTTAATGGACTTTTTGAAAAAGTAATTTTGATGCTTTATTGGATTGCGAGAGTTTGGTTCACTCCTAGTGCCCAAGTTCATTAGTTTCTCTGAGCTCTGTTTGGATAAATGAGTTGGTTGTACAGGTGAACCTCAATAAGTTGAACCTCCCCAAATTAACTTTTTTTTTCGAAGTCCCTGTCTGAATTCCCTTGGAATCAATGCATTAAAAACCTCCCTAACTCAAAGTATTATCTGGAACCTCTGTAAGTCAAAATTTTGGAGGCCTTCAGGATATCATTTCCTTGAAATATGAAGAGAAAATCATTAAAAGAAATAATTGATGCATCTTGAAAGGAAGTGAGAGACTAATATAGCACATGAACCCCTGCCTCCATCATTAAGTAACAAGTTTAGGCCCAGAATATCCTCATTTAAAAATTTCCACACTTTTTTCTCTTCTCCTCACAGCAAAAGTGTTTGTTTCCTTAACTGGAAGCCTCCAAAAATCAAAACCTTCCTAAGTTAAATATTTTTCCTGGTACCAAGAAATTCAACTTACGGAGGTTCAAGTGTAGTAAGGTAAGCATGACTCGGTAAATGGACTTTTTGATATTGATTTTATGCTTGATGGAATTGTGAGAGCTTGGTTTACTCCTAGTGCAAGATTCTTTAAACTCTGTTTGAATAAATGAGTTAATTATGTAAGGTTAAGCATGCCTCAGTTAATAAACTTTTTCAAGTACAGTATTGATTTTGATGGGATTTTCTGACTTTGGTTTGCTTCTTGTCCAACAAGTGAGTAGTTTCTTTAAGCTCTCTGTAAATCCAGTACTGTAGATGGTTGTGGCAAGCTGACTGTGTTTCAGTTAATGGACTTTAAGAAACATGTTTTAATGCTTCATGGGATTGCAAGAGTTTGGTTTGCTCCTTGTCTCACAGGTGGTGTGTTAGTGTGAACCTCTCTTTGAAGGTGTTAGTCAAATCTGGCTAGTTGTGGATGATTCGGTTAATGGACTTCTCAATATTCATGTTTATGGTAAATCTACTCCAGCTGGAAGTCCATCAACTGAGCAAGGAAATTTGTATATCTTTGGAATAGTTTTTTTTTGTTCCTGATCCCTTGGGAGAAAATCTTTATTGAATTTTCAAAGAGATCACTAAATGAATAAATACAGTACTGAACATGAAAAGCAGTTTCCAAAGCGGATTTTTGAAAAATGTTTTAAATTATTTTCCTGAAATGTTCCGTTTTTAATAACTTTTTATGATGCTTTTCACATCTCAACAGGATTTTTGCATTTGGGTGGACTGAGGACCGCACTGCATAATTACTTGTTTGCCAAATCTCGCGGAGGAGATTTTGTGCTTCGGATAGAGGACACTGATCAAACCAGACTCGTTGCGGGTGCTGCAGAAAAGCTGGAAGAAATCTTGGATTGGGTCGGGATTGTGCCTGATGAAAGCCCCTTGAGAGGTGAGAGAGGGTTTTCGTCAAATTTTAAATGGCGTTTGAACCTCAGGATTTTTTGATGCAGCAATTGAAAAAAAAAAGTGAATTCATGATGATACATTTTTCGTTTGTTAGGTGGGAATTATGGACCATACGTGCAATCCGAACGTTTGAACGTGTATCGCGAACATGCCGATCGTTTGCTTGCTGAAGGGAAGGCTTACAAGTGTTTTTGCTCGGAGAAAGCGCTGGAACTTTTGCGGAAAGAACAAGCCAGGCGAAAAGAAGTGCCGAGGTACAATATATTGTATATTTTGCCCTTCTTTTATTCTCGTGGAAATTTTTTTTTAGTTGAGCAATTCATTTATGTCATTTATGTCAATTCAACAGTCTCGTGAGGGGGTTTTAAGCTCGAATTTTGTCTACGCATTCAGAATCCATTTGGAGCTAATTCAGAGACCAGTAAAATTTGTACAGTACAGTTTAGACCCCCAGATGCGGACATAGTTGGTGCATCAAGAGTGTCCCTAAGTTGAGTCTCATTTTCCCATAGACTTAAAGTATACAGTATAATATTCAATTGGTGTTTTATGGAAGAAATGTTCTTTGGAATTCCATGAAAAAAAAAAATTGTTTGTCACTTGAATTTGATTCAGTGAATATCTTTTCAACTCAATAAGAACATTTGGAGCATTGAATAGTGTACCTCTGTACAATACATTGAAATGTTGGCATCTGTAAATATTACATTCAAGTCACAAATAGAGAAGGAAGTCCCTCCATGCCATAGTTAATTTTTAAAATTAGCTGCGAGGATGATGAAATGATGGCAGAAATGCCAAAAGAATTTTTCTTGCATGCTTCATAGGGTTGGGGATATCTGTTTCTTGCAATTCAGCATAATAAATGTCAATTTTCCTGAAATTTATCAGTAATTTTATCATGCAATGTCCTCATGTTGAGTCAGTGTCAGTATGTTGGGCCTTTTTTAATGATTTTTTTATTGAAAAAAAAAAGTCCACATGTCAAGGTGTCCACATGTGGGGGGTCTCACTGTATGTAGATCAGTATCTGTTAAAATATTCTACAACTTGATGAAATGCAGTATTTAAATGCTTTACTTCAATATTTTTAAAAACTTGATCAATATTCTTCAATTGTGTGTCTGATGCATTTTTAGTATAATTTCCACCTCCTGTTGCAATTGAATTTTGCCTACATATTCAGAATCCATTTGGAGCTTCGAGAGAGACAAGTAAAAATTTTTCAGTAGTTTGGTAAAGTATGCATAAAAATATTTTTATATATTGACAAAATACAGTAGTTACAAATTAATCAAGTACAGAAGTCTGATAAAATCCAATAGTTCACTTCAATATTTTTTAAAGACTTGATCTGAATGTCCTTCAAATGTATCTGGCGAATTTTTAGTATGATTTCCACCTGCTTACAAATCTATCATTATTTTGGAGCTGAGTTGACAAGGACTGAAATTTATATTTCATGTTTATTGAAAAAATTGATTCTAATTATTTTGTGAATTGGTAAAAAATAAACGTGCACTGTATTCTAATCGTATACAGATTTATTTCTGTTTGATCTGTGAGTAATGTTGAATCATACAGGAGATACTGTACTGTACTTCGAAGGGAATTAATTCACTTTCTCGAATGCGTTCGTATTTCTTCAAAATATTGAAAAGCTTTTTTTATTTTGAAAAAAAAAAACAGGTATGATAACCGATGTCGTGGGTTGAGTCCCGAAGAAATTGCCGAAAAGGAAGCGAGTGGGATCCCGTCTTGCGTGAGGCTGAAACTGGAACCCGGGTTCAAAGGGTTCCACGACTTGGTGTTTGGGTTAGTCAGACACGACGTTGCGAATGCCGAAGGGGATCCGGTGATTCTGAAGGCTGATGGCTTCCCAACGTATCATTTGGCCAATGTGGTCGACGACAAGTTGATGGAGATTTCGCACGTTTTTCGCGGTGTCGAGTGGCANAGTGGCAAATTTCCACGCCGAAACACATAATGCTTTACGAGTGAGATATTGTTTGTTTACCTGTGAAATCACCTTGCTTTTATCTTTCTTTCAAGTATTTATGCTCTATCATTATTGTAACCGTCAAGTTTTTTTCAATTTTTTTTTGGCTGAGTAATAAATTGTGACGAGAATTTTAAAAAATTAATCACTAGAAACCTTGTTCCAAATTATCCCTGCGTGTGCATTACAGTAAAATCTTGTTACAAGAAACTTTTTGGCGACTGAAGAAGAAAAATGTTTTACGAAATAATTTGTTAGGACATGATTCTCAAAATTTAAAACTTGAGGCGTTGCTTCAAATCGGCCCTTAATTTACGGTAAAATCTTGCTACAGCTAACTTTTGAGAAAAGTTTTTTTTTACTGAATAATTCTTTATGGAAAGATTTTCAAAATGATTGACTGGGAATATTGTTCCAAATTAGGCCTGTGTAATCAGTGAAATCTTGTTACAACGAACTTTTCGGTGACTAAAGAAAAAATAATTTTGTACTAAATAATTCTTCTTGGCAAATTTTCAAATTTTTTGACAGGAAACATTGTTTCAAATTAGACCTTCTTATACTGTCAATTCTTGTTAGAACTAACTTTTGAGGACTTTGGAAAAAGTGTTTTGTACTGATTAATTTGTTATGACAAGATTTTCAACTCTAATAACTGCAAGTATTGTTTCAAATTAGCCCTGCATATACTTTACTGTAAAATCTTTTTACAACTAACTTTTGGGGACTAGAGAAAAGTTGGTTGTGCTGAATAATTTTGTATGATGGGATTTGCAAAATTGATGACTGGAAATATTTTTCCAAATTAAGCCTGAATTTACTGTTGAATCTTGTTAAAACCAACTTTTGAGGACTTGAGAAAAGTTCTTTTTACTGAAGAATTTGTCAAGACAAGAATTCCGAAGTCAGTGACTGAAAGCATAGTCTCTAATTAGTATATGCCTCTCTCTGTGTACACTAAAATGTTGTTACAACAAACTTGTAGGGACTGAATCAAAAGTTTTTCATTCTGAAGAATTTTTTTGGACAAGATTAACAACTGGAAGCACTGTTTCTAATTAGAGTTGCACATAAACTAAAATCATGTTACAACTAACTTTTGTAAACTAAAGAAAAAGTTGCCTGTACTGAATAATTTGTTATGCCAAGATTGTAAAAATTAATGACTAGAAGCATTGTTTCAAATTAGAATGGCACCTACAGTAAAATCATGTTACAGATACATTTTGGGAACTGAAGAAAAAGTTGGTTGTACTGAGTGATTTTGTATGATGAGATTGACAAAAATCTGAGACTGGAAACATTTTTGAAATTAGGCCAATGTATCAAGCAATAAATTTAAATCTTGTCACAAAAAACTATTGGAGCCTTTGAAAAGAGGTTTTCATAAACTTGGACCTCTTCAACTCAAACCTTTCCAACTCGATTCTTTTCTAGTTCCAAGCATAAACAGTCTTAGTTTCCATAACCTCTTTAGCTTAAAACATGTTCCAATTTTTTTGATCACCTCAAATTTGACTTGGTAAGGTCCAAATGCTGGATATTGTTTTTTTAACAACAAGATCTACTTTACATTATAGTTCAATATTTTGTTCATTTATAGAGCATTTGGTTGGAAGCCACCAACCTTTGGCCACTTGCCCTTGATAATGAACCCGGACGGAACAAAATTGTCCAAACGTCAACGAGATGCCTTTGTTGAAGACTTGCGGGATTCAGGATATTACCCTGAGGCTGTGTTGAGTTACGTCACTGAATCAGGAGGTGGTGGTGAAACCGGAAGAGCCAACAAACCCCCGGAACTGCAATCGCTTGGGAGTCTCATTCAAAACGTGAGGCATCCCAATTTGTTTCCTTAAAAAAAAAAGGAGTTTCAATAAAGTTAAATAAGCTGTGTGATCATCAGGAAGTTCCAATCCTGTTCTTTACAATACAGAGTATTTTGTCCTGCATATTGTGGCGAATTTTCCAAAAGTGGATGGTAGATGTCACTGGTGATCACAGTTGCATTTTAAATTCAACGCTGAGTTATTCCATGTATTCCTTTTGCTTCCGCATTTTTTATTTCTTTGTGCACATGAGGGTTTGCGCGAAAGTGTTGAATCAATATTGATTGAGTTTTACGTGAAATAGTAATTGAATGATGAATACAGTGAGACCCCCAGATATGGACATAATTGGTGCATCAAGAGTGTCCCTGAGTTGAATTGTCCCTAAGTTGAGTCTTGTTTTCCCATAGACTTACATGATATCATTTTTAATTGGTGTTTTATGGAAGAAATGTTCTTCAGAATTCCATGAAAAAATTTTGTTTGCCGCTTGAATTTGATTCAGTGATCTTTTCAACTTAATCAAAATATTTTGAGCATTGAATAGTGTACCTCTGTACAATACATTGAAATGTTGGCATCGATAAAAATAACATCCAAGCCTCAAAAAGAGAAGGAAGTCCCTCTGAGCTATAGGTAATGTTTTTAAATTAGCTGAATGGATGGAAAACTGATTGGAAAAGTACTGAAGAATTTTTCTTGCATATAGATCTCAGGGTTAGAAGTATCTGTTTCTTGCAATTAAGCCTGATAAAAGTCACTTTTCCTAAAATTTTTTGACAATTTTATCATGCAATGTCCTCATGTTGAGTCAATGTCTGTATGTTGGGCCTTTTTTATGATTTTTGTTTAGTGAAAAATAAATGTCCCTATGTTGAAGTGTCCACTTGTAGGGGTCTCACTGTAATTTCTCTTGTGCAACTTTGTCTCCCTCAAGCATTTCTTATTCAGATGCATCCGATTTGTTGTAATGCAAAAGTTCTTGATTTGAAAAACAATAAAAATCTGGTTACAACGAATCTCGTCATAACAGACAAATGCTTACAACGAATTATAGTATTTTTTTAATCTTTTACCAATTGACAGGGTGTTATTTAAATAATTTTCGTTTATAACGGGAGATTTTTAAGGTCCCCAACGTTTCGTTGTAACGAGATTCATGAAAAAATTGGCTGACTATTCTATTCCTGTGACTCCATGAAGCATTTTTTGGACGTCTCATCTTGAAAAATTTTTTTTTTTTGGCAGCATGTGATGATGTGTTTACAATTTTTAATGTTTTTTGAATTCGTATTTTCAATTTGTTTCTAGTTCAACCAAGAAGCCACGTCTCCGCATTCCTTTAGTCTTCAAAGTGACAAACTGGTTGTGTATAATCGGCAAGCTTTCGCAAATCGGCTGAAGGATCCCGAGTCTCGTCAGCGGATTTTTGCGGAACTCGAGAAGCTGGTCAGGGCGAAACACACCACGGAAATTTCAGAGTGAGGAGAAAATATCCATGAGTCGATTATCGAATCAGTGTGCAAATAGTTTATTTAATTTCATTTTTCAAATTTTATCGTGTTGCTCAAGTTTTTCCGGCGAATATTTATCCCGTGTGTTGGACTGGGGCAAGGATCGCATCACTGTTCTCGACGATCTGGTGAATAATCCGGAAATGAACTTCCTTTGGGGACGACCGAATACCGAAGAAGTTTCTGAAGTTGACCCAGGCAAGTTTTTTATTTATATCTTTCGGGTTTGACAGTAATAAATTTGAAAATACAGTCAAACTTATTCAAGTTGAATTTTCGGGGACCAGTCTAAAAAAAATTTGAGTTGGGGAAATTTCCGATGAGGGAAACCAGAATTTTTGCTCGGATAAATAGAAATGAAGAGTGAAGGGAAATTGAAATTTGTGATCTTTTGGAGCTTGAACCGCTTTGACTTGAAGTACAGTGAGACCCTCCCAGATGCAGACATAATTGTTGCATCAAGAGTGTCCCTAAGTTGAATTGTCCCTAAGTTGAGTCTTGTTTTCTCATAGACTTACATTATAGAATTTTTAATTGGTGTTTTATGGAGGAAATATTCTTCAGAATTCCATGAGAAAAAATTTTGTTTGCCACTTGAATTTGATTCAGTGAATATCTTTTCAACCAAATAAGAACATTTGGAGCATTGAATAGTGTATGGCTGTACATTTCATTGTAATGTTGGCATCTGTAAAAATAACATCCAAGTCACAAAAAGAGAAGGAAGTCCCTCTGTGCTGCAGGTAATTTGTTTAAATTAGCTGAATGCATGGGAAAGTGATGGATAAAGTGCTGAAGAATTTTTCTTACTTCTTAGGGTTGAAAATGTATGTTTCTTTATAAGTTTATATTAAGCCTAATGAACGTAAATTTTCCTAAAATATATTGGCAATTTCATCATGCAATGTCCTCATGTTGAGTCAGTGTCCCTATGTGAGGCCTTTTTTATGATTTTTTTTATTGAAAAATAAATTTCTCTATGTTGAATTGTCCCCATATCAAGGTGTCTGCTTGTGGGGGTCTTGCTGTAATCAAATTCAACTGAATAGAAATAATAAGACTGAAGAAATATATTTATTATCCCTGGTATTAAATCTAATGCATTCATAATAAAGACTGAATTTTTTTCTCGTAATTTGCAGACCTTGTGAGACCCGTGAGGAATCTGATTTTGGAATGGGAGTCGGAGGATTTTGTCTTGGACAAGATACCAAAGGAATTGAAATCTGGTTTGAAGAATTCGGGGAAGAGTTTCAAGGCATGCATGAAGGCTGCTCGTATAGCCTTGACTGGGCGTCTGGTATGTTTCTTCTTTTGTTTCTGATGTGCCAAGTTGAGTTTCTTGGCTTTCTTTCCACATTTTAAATGAGTATTATGATTACCATGTTTATTTATTTAAATTGTTTTTGTTCCTGTCTTTGTACAAGGGCTGAGGATTGAATCCCTATATTATAGCTTTTAATAGTTTTTTTTAACATTAAAGTATGATGAAATAAATTAACACACGTATTTTGCAGCACTGTACACAGTTCATGGATACAACTTCAGAAAGAGAAGCACTGGATTTTAGCTTATTTTGGATTATGAATTTGAGTAAATTTATGATGAGCTGTAAATTATGTTGAATTTTTTGCCATACAGCAGTAGCTTACTTTGATCAAGGGATATCAACATTTTGAAAATGGGAATGTTCTCATGTTCAAGGAAATTTTGGTCGTGTCCTTAACTCGAGGCAAACCTTTTTGAGTTTCAAGTGGCTGTGAATCGAATTGTCCGTATCTCAGGGCCCCACTGTATTCTTGAGCAGAAATACCTGGAATGCATGAAAGATAGACTGATTCAATTTTTTGAATGGTTTCTTCATGAAACTGTCAAGAGTGAGAAATGTTGCTCCGCTTGGAGATTAAAGATTATTCCTCTCAAACCCAATCCCTTTCTCATATTTTGGCAAGGAATTTGGCCATTGTGCAGAAATATTTCAAGTGTGCAATTTTTACTCATTTTGCAGGAAGGGCCCTCGCTTGCCGAGCTGTTGTACGTTTTAGGACAACGGGAATCCGCAGCGCGACTCGGCGTTTGTTCTGAGGTCCGAAATCTCGGGAATAAGCGAGAAAGGAAAACCGCTTAGCGAAAAAAAAAATCGTATCCATAAACATAGAAGGTCGGCTGTGTTTCTGTTTGACTTACTGTTTGTCTTCTGTTCTTCCGTCTCATTTTGTTACCCCGTGAATGGCATTTGTTTTTCTCTGCATTTTTGGGGGGCCGACGAATGAGTGTTCGAGATTCCCGGTGTGAAACGATCCTGTTTCTCCGGGTGATGATGAGTGACTATACACACAGTGATTCACTGTCTTTCGGAATTTTGTCAAGCTTCTCTTCATTCAAGTCAACATTTTTTTCCATGCGATACACGTTCATTTCATGGTCTTTTTGAAGAGAGAGAGAGAGAGAGGACCTCTTGAAGAGTAGTAGCATACAAACTGGACAGAAGTTTTCGAAGTCTATCGAAATAGTTTGTCATCTAGGATTTAGCGAGTTCTAAGGAAGGATATTACCCAATTGGAAAATGACTTATTGAAAGCATTTTACTTTCACTCCTGCGAATTGTACCAGATAACAATATTAGATTCTTAGAATATGAATTCATACCCAAATGAAAGAATTCAATTTGATTTATCTGGAATGTGACCCATGAATAATATGCACAAACAAATTTAGAAAATTTGCTTTAATTTTTTTTTTCAACACAAATGTCCCATTTACTGTCACAATTTTTTCTGCGAGAAAGGTATACATAATAATACAATCAACATGATTAACTGCACAGTATTCAAAAATACGCAAAAAGAGGTTTCAATAACAAATATTTCAGTTTATGTACAGGAAAACAATGCCCATTTTGTCACAGATCCTCAGCAAGGTGTCCAAGACTCGGCCCATTGTGGTGCACAGGTCTCGATTTCCAACCCCGGAAACCCCCGGAACTGACCCCAAAAGTGGACACATTCCTTGCAATGGCTGCCCACTTCCTGGCCCGAGACGTCAAAGGTATCACGAAAGTATCCAAGAGCTCATACACTGTGTCTGGACCATAAACTTCTCCAAAAACAGCTTCAGAGGAATGTAAAATCCGCGTCATGGTGTCATTAATTTCTAAAAATGTCTTAATAACGTCTAATTGACTCATGGTCATTGGAGAAACAAATCCATTATCCAGGTTGTATTTGGTCCAGTAGCCCTTCACTGACTGGCTGTTTTCCAGTGTGTCCAGATTGGCACGTGCTGAATGAATGCTCAAGGCAAGAGAGAAGATTTGCGAGCCATCAAATTTGCAATTTTTGTGGAAATTGGCTCGATTATTGTCTTCAGTAGCTTTTGCCAGCTCTTCAAAAAGACTTGGACAGGAGAACACATCTGTGAGGTATTGAATAACTGCGCTGGATGTAGGAGGAGATCCTTTGACCACTTGTAGGATCATCCCAAGCACTGGGAGAGACACTGGAAGCAGTTCACAAAGTGTGGAAAAGTGGGAGAACCTGCAAAATATATGCGTTGAAATATAGCTGAACTAAATTTCAATTTTTCATTGCCAAAAATATTCTAGAGCAACATTATTTTCATTTCTGTAATAACTTGATATACTCATTCTACATGAAAATAAAAAGTAAAAATCAAGGCTCTTTATACAATTCCTGATACATTGCCCAACCTTGCCACACTATTTTGATAATAGTGAATTTATTTATTCATTTGAAGTTATAATCCAGGCATTAATGCAGCCGTGATTCTTGCCATCATGCAAATAGGAACAATCCAAAAACATTATTTAAATTTGAAATTCTTGGATCATTTTGAAGATATTGGCATTCGAGAACAGGTTTCCATTTTAGGTTTTTTACACACTGACTAAAGTCTGTATAAAAATGATTTTCACAAAGGGGCAAAGCAAAACAATCAACCAATTTAAAAGTAATTGTTACAAAATTAAATATGCTTTGCACAAATTATTGGGAAGGATAGAAACACCAACATCCATTGACTGATGGGCAGAAAATATATCTGATGATCCATCCACGTGTCAGTGTAGAATAAATTTCAAACACAAATGGTAAAATTTAATTTTTAATTGGCACTGGTCCAAAGACCTTCAGTTACAAGAGCTATTGATGATTGATTCAGGAAACTATTCTCAAAAATTCAAGCAAGTTTAAGCATTGGATTGTCAAACGCAATAAAGGGGCTCATCCCAAGATGAAAGGTTTGTAAAATTCAGGTATGATTAAATTGTACCATACCTTTGTCGTCCAATCAAAACAAATCCTCTGAAAGACAAGGAAGTGGTTCCCTCTGTTTTCCGGATGAACTGAACCCATTCTAAAATATTCTTCAGCCTTCCCTCGTAAGAGGGGAATAGTGAATCCACAGAATCTGCCCCTTTGAAGGCACCTGCTCCCCAGATATACTTGAAAGATCCTTGGTAAGAAGTCAGGTCCAAAGTGCTATTGTCTCCAGGTTTCTAATGAGTTGTATCAATTGAAGATCAATCACAAGATTTTTTTTGGTTTTATAGTGGACAAAAGTTGAACCACTCACTGATTCCTTGTAGTTTAAGATCATAGGCTCAATCAGGTCAGTTAGAGGAGACTTTGATAGCTTCTCATGACTTATGGATCTGAGTTCATCATCCCAGATGATGGCTTGCATGTCATACTTGACTTTCACATATTGAGCAATTTTGGACATGTGATCAAGATACAAGTCCTCTCTTGACCATTTTCTTCTTGCAGTTCTCTCCTTGCAAACCCGGCATTCCCCAATGCTTTGAGCTCCAGCTCCTCCAAGGTGAATCCAGTTGGACTCATTGTGAAGTGTGAGGATCTGTGGAAGCAATATTTTGGAATTCAAGAATAAGGACATTTTCAAACTTAGTACTTCTTGAGGAGGAATGGTTGATGATGAACAACTTTCCTTCAATAAAAAGCTGGATATGCAAGCTGAGTGCCCTGTTTTTCCATTCTGGGAAAATTTCCAACATTTGGGAGGAGGGGGAAATAAGAAATACTGTTAAAAGGTACAAATATCATTTTTAGTTAGGCTTTGTATACTTCAAGATGTCTTAGGAATAAATTACCCAGTACCTTCTTGTCTGCTCAGTGTTTTTTGAAGGTCTGCTAATATGATCTCAAGTATAACCTTCCCTTTCCAATTCATGAATCTTAGTTTGAGATCATTTCCTGTTCAGAGCAAATGGGTACATCCAAAAATTTCATTAATCATTTTGCACACAGAGTTTTTTCAAAATAAAAAAAACATTTCATATCATGCTCAGTTTTTGGTAACTTTCATTACTGAGGTCATTTCAAAAGCAAAAAAAAAATCAGTAGAAAAAAGCATCATAATTGTGATGACAAATGAAGCTGAGTGACATACCATATTCTCAATTATTTTCAAAAATTCCCACAGAAACTTTTGCAAAGTGATCAGGAGTGCTGCAGCCTTGCTGAAATGCTTGTGAATAGTTTAAAAACTTTTAAGGCACGTGTAAGTGGGACAAAATTCATAACCCTCCCCCCCTTAAAACTTGTGAGAATGCATGCATACAATTTTTTAATTCACATACTTTCTGAAGTGCCACTGAACTAAAACTTTCTCTCACAGCCTCACATTACAAAAACCTCACATAGCAGGGAGCTGGAAATATAAAACTTTCACAAAAGCACATAAGATTGATTGAATAAACATTCATTTTGCAGCTTTAAATGTTATGTAGATCATCAAGGACATTATGTAAGTTAATATAAGAAAAATTGGTTTAGTTTCATTTCCTCACTCACACATTCTGATTGAGACAAAAATGCTCAGAAGAAACTTACTTGATCAATAATTGCCTTAATGAGCTCAAATCCAGCCTCTTTACTTGGACAAAGAGTCTGAGGATTTGTGGGAATTTCTCTGTAAGGTCCAAAATCTGAATGTTTGAGGATCCAATCAAGGTTGCCAATGGTGTCCACTAATGGGATAATGATGAGATTGAGTTGCTTTGCTGAAGCAACAATCTGAGAAACTTGATGGATTGAGTACTTTTCTGTTGAACTGGAGTACCTCTTCAGTTCCCCCCAGAATGGAAATGTGTCTTCATATTCAATCATAATTCCTGTTGCACCAAGCTCTTTGATGAGAGGAAATAGCTTCTTGAGGTAGGAGATCTTTGGAGGAGCTCCCTTGAAATCAAGATGCACCAGCACATGCTGAAAAATAAAGATATCAAGCAATAAAATTACACTTCTACCATTTGTATCTCATATTCAAGAAAAGGTAAATGAACTTCAGCATTACAGTACTTGTAATTCTCCAATGTAATCAAAAAATAATACAGTATTGTTTTTTTTAAACACAATATGCCATGCCATATGCTTATACAGATCTTGAACATTCAACCACTTCAACTTTTCTTTCAGGCTTTAAATACAACACTTCATATTTACCCTTTTGTTTCAGGAGGAAATTGAAGCAAGTCAGATCAAAAATGTGGAAAAAAGTCAAGAGCACCCAGTGTTCCCAGGTGGTCTCCCATCCAAGTACTAACCAGGCCCAACATTGCTTAACTTCCATGATCAGATGAGAATGGGTGCATTCAATGTGGTATGGCCCTTGACATATAAAATCAGAAAGATCACTCATCCTCATCTGAAAGTGATGAAAGTCTTGATTGAGTATTCTGTAGTTATTTGTTTCTGAAATTACTGTATATTGCCATTGTCCAATTTTAATCATTGACAATAAAAATTAAAGGTTTTGAAAAAACATGGCAGGCCATGATTTCAATATTGATGATTCACACATCATTTCATCTACTGTACTTTGTTTCAAAAGAAAAATTGCAAGCAAGTCAGATCAAAAATGTGGAAAAAAGTCAAGAGCACCCAGTGTTCCCAGGTGGTCTCCCATCCAAGTACTAACCAGGCCCAACATTGCTTAACTTCCATGATCAGATGAGAATGGGTGCATTCAATGTGGTATGGCCCTTGACATGTAAAATCAGAAAGATCATAAAAATTGACCATACTGAAATTAGACATGTGGTTGAGCCATTGACATTCAAAATTAGAAAGATCACTCATACTCATCCAAAAATGATGAAGGTCTTGCTTAACTCTGTAGTTGTTGGTTTCCAAAGTTCTATTGCAATTGTAAAATTTCATTTTCAGGCCATACAAATTCAATGTTTTCAAAAAATACACTAAACCCTTTGTTAAATATAGATGTACAAAATTGTCATTACTGCTATACTCTCTGTTAGATGAACTATTGTGGAAAGTGAGAACAAAACTGATGAGAAAAGGAAAAAATGCAAAAGGGGAAAAGATCAATCATACTTTTTCAAATTTTCAAAAATTAAATCATCAATTCTTGAGATTCACATCGAATATAAAGAGAAGTTTGATCACCTATCTTGAGTTTGGTCTTTTCCGGTATTGGAAATAGGAATATACTCTTATAGGTATTTCTCAAAATAGACCATCATTTGAAGTACAGTCATGTTGAAATTTTTATGTGCACATCAAATGGGATTTTTGGAAAAGGAAAAGAGTATATTTTATCAAAAAGCAGTCAGTTTACTCACCTCTCCAGGTTGTATTTCTGGTCCTGGAAGAACAACTCCACCATGTTTGAGTGTTTTATGAGAATCCAACTGTCCCTGATGTCCAAAACCAGTCATTTCATTGATTGACCTCACATTGATGGGATGTTTGAGATGCACATTCACATTTGGCAATTTTCCAGCATCAACTGCAGCATGACGGTGTCTGTGTATTTTACAGTTGTAGTTTGAAAAACATAGAATAAAATAATCAAGACATAGAATAGACATAATAGTTGAATGGATTAATTTGTGAATTGTTGATCATTGTGCGAAGCGTTGAAAGCTTTGTTGATTCTTTTTCATGAACATGTATAGTCATTCTAATATTTGCTAAATAATGAATGCTGGGAATTTTCAGAAACCTGAACTATGTATAATTCCAAAATGTTCTCTATTTTCCATTAATAAAGATCTTGGTGAATGGACTCAGCAAAACATTTCATTCAATTCACCAAGGCACAAATGCATCCGCAAATTTGTATGGTTGAGGCTAGAAAGAAAATACTGTACTGTACAGTAAAGTACTGTACTGTATTCTCAATTCACAGACAATATGCACTTTACTGTACATGAATTGATTGGACTCTCGAATATTATTTGATCAATTTTTGTGTCACATTGTCAGTTAATTTTGGCAAAACAGAATTGAAAAGCCAGGAAAGAACAAATTCAAATTGAATTTGATTTGGAGATAAAAACTCCCAAAATTTTACTAGGCAGGAGTCATTGCTGGGTGCCTGCATGACAACACTCAGCTGGTTTGGTATGTTTGCTTTGTACCCTAATTTCTATCTTATTATTTGTGAGAATTTCTAATGATGTTTGGATGTCATAAAAAAACATTTTTCAAAGCAAAAATGACATAAAGATGAAACTGCTCACAATGTTTTTCGAGTAAATTAAAAAAATTAATCTGACCTGGATCTTGCTTCATCCAAAATGCTAGAGGACTTTGCCTGCAATTGCCTCTTGTTCGTGCCTCTCATGCCAGCTTCTCGAGCACGTTGAGAATCAAAATTAAACCTTCTCAACCTCGGTGAATGCAACACTGAAGCCACAGTGAAAACCAGCACAAGGAAAAGTAAAACTGTCACTGCAGCCAAACGTCGACGCCAAGTGCGACGAGTCGCTGGGAACCGATTCTGACACCACTTGGCAATTAGTGAGAAAGGAGCAGTGACTCGGATAACGGTTTCTTCCCATTTCTCGGCTTCTTCTAGTTGCTGCGGATCCTGGACCGGCTTCGTTTGGTAGAAGCTGTAGCGGTAATAGGCATCAGGGTCGTCATCTTCGTCGAATTCCGCAAAACCGTCTTCACTCATGATTCCTATAAAATTATTATCATTAAATGAGAAAATAAGAGATCCGGAACAAAGCGCGTGATGGAATGTCCAGCACAATCGTGGTCTCGAAGAATTCCACCGAAGTTGTCGTCTTCATGGGCACTCAAAATGTATCTGAAGGGTCTTGGAATGTTCACAACACTTTCAGGCATTATTCTCAACAGGTTAAAATGGGAAAAAGCTTCTGTGATCCAGATTTGTGCATACTCTCCGGTGGAGCATCTCCGAGTTCCACGAACGGCACGGATGCATCACTTCGGGCTGATCTCAATCAAAACTTCACAACTTTGGAAGGCTTTCTAAATTTTCTTAAAACTCTGCTTGAAGAAATCTTCATTCCGTCTCTACATGAAGAACAGATCCTCGCACACCTCCTGAACTTAGTACAGTAAAAGGCTATCATAAATACCGCTTAAAACGTTATCAAGATTTCGCGGAGGGTTCCAAAATAACGGGTGCATATAAGGCAACTGAATTCCGATTTCATTGCTTTACTCTGATGCAATGAAGGGTAATAAAATTTTCAGAATAATTACAAGAAGTACTAGACATATATTTGAAAACTTGGAGACATGTTTGAGACCAAGTTATCAGCGTAAAATACTCAAATTCATTAAGGCCACATGATGTTAATGAAACGCAATCCGGGTACTCACCGCTATCAATTCCATTGGATCCGTTCAGACCGTTCTCATCCAAAAACTAAGATATTTCTCCTGTCTAAAATATTTCTCATAGCCACCGCAGTTAGTCGAAAAGAAGCACTCGTATTTCTCATGACTTGAAAACTGAAACCGTTTTTCCTGAGAAAATAAACACGCAAATAAACGGGATACTTAAATTCTTGATTTTTGGCATGTTTTAAAGCGTTACATTGATTTGAGGAAAGGCATCAGACACAAGAATGGGAAGATTATCACATATGACCAAAGCGAGACTAAATAAAATGGCTGATCCACTCGAAATTCCGTTACATGCAATCATACATTCTATAATTATTACTACAAAATAAGGACTTCGAGTAAATTTCATAATCCAATTTCAAAAATACAAGCAAAACACACACAAATCGGGAAAACAGTCGTCACGGCGAAAGTGTGAAAAAGGTTTTAAGGGAATCCATTCCCTGAATGATGCTGGCAGCTAAAGTCATATTTTCCACAACTTCAACAGTTTTCCTCTTGAACACGAAAGATAAAGCAAAAATCGGTGGCTTTAGACCGACATCGTTCATTGTACTGCATGTACTGTGCTACAAAAAGATACATCAATACACAAATGTATCACTGTTTTTATTTTGAAAATTAAACTGAAACAAGAACAGCACTTCGGCAGCAGTGTTCCGATCACTGATCGATAGAAAGGTGGAATAACGGCATTCGCGGAAACATTTCCAAGCACATTTCCCCAGTTCGCAGAAAAGGCTGTACAGTATCTATCACATTATTAGGGCCCGGGGTACTAATAGGAATTTGCGTGACCAACTGGTGCATGGGACCACCATACTTCGTTTTTGCCCATTTTGAACAGAAGAAGAGAAAAAAAGAGCCACTAATGATATAAAATTCGCGGCAGTTTTCGTCGGATACACTGAATAACCCAGAACTTCATACGCGGCACAGTCCTAGCCCTTGACGCCGGTTCTTGGATCAAAGTTTCCATCCGTCTTGGGGCGCTAGGGCGGGGTTAGGGAAATGCATTCCGCGGGTTCAGTGAGGTACTGTATGGTGACTGCATGGGTTCTGTAACAAAGAATAGCTTATTTGTACCAGTTGATGCTCACTCACATTGAGAGTAGCAGAGGATCGCTGGATACCTGATGAGTGCAAGGGGAAAAATTATAAGCCATCTAACAAATTGCAAAAGGTTTGAATGCATTTTTGCAATGCGGTTAAAAACTTTTACCAGCATATGATATTTCTACCAGTAACTTCGTAAATTTCCGTAATCCAGTACATTCCGTTGCTCCTTATAATAGCCTTTATTTATAGGACTTTTCCTTGTCAAGTATTTGAGGTGTGTCCACTGTCCAAGCACCCGCGAACTTTATGGACTTACGATGCGCCCGGGTTTCGACTGAGCGCCTGATGAGGAAAGGCACCGCCATTGACTCATGCGCTGAGGGTTGAATCGATGCAAGGGTGCGCAGAGAGGGTCACCATTTTGTCGGTTGAGCGCAGCTGTTGGGGTGTGTCCATGTGTGGAGAGGGAAAGACGGCTTCACTGCCAGGATGTGAGTTGACTAGACCTGTTATTGATCCGCCGTGTTTTTCAGTGCCTTCTTCCGCGGAATCAGCCTCGCAATTAGCCCTTTGCTTCGTGTGTCGGAAAACCGAAAGGCCTTTGAAATGGTGAGTCTTGATCGACGAGATCTTCTTGAAAAGCTTGTGATGGATACCTTCCTGTGACCTGATCTGCTGTCGAGTGTATCTATACGGAGGATAAAACCTAGTGCATTATGTTTCCATTACTACACACTGTAACACTCACTGGTGATGACTTATGCAAAGTTGAACCTGTATGATGATGATCAATGAGGGGCTTTCTTCAGTTTTTTTTTTACTGATTTTTATTCGGAAGTACTCGACTTATATACAAATAAATCTTGATGTGCATCGATCAGTCATCGTTGAATTATCCGGGATTTCCTCCCACTTTCCGGGGATTATTCATGTCACTTCGACGTATAGTGATCGAGTTTTAATGTGACCATGAGTTTTTTCGTCCGTTTGGCTTGAATTTCGAAGGAAATACTGCAAACAAGTGCAGTGTACTGGGATGTCAGCCGGTCAGATTGTTCCTGAATCATGGTGGACGATTTTTTGCGTGACTTCCGTCAAACAATACATATTCTCAAAATCGAATTGATCAGCATAGCGTGTTTGCCGGAGATAACTTGTAAAAGGTTTGTACACGGAAGAACTTATTCTTCCGTGTATGAATTTCGGGTCACGAGTGTGCCGATACATAGTACTCAATATTGATATACAGTACAGTACTGTGGCGTGAATATATGCCAAAATGGATTTCAACGGAATGATGTGCGAAGATTCCTCGTTTACGAAGAGCAAAAGAACGGTGGTGCATACGGCTGTACAGCACTTTCTTATTATCCCTCTTATTTTGTTCAATGGGGAATTCGGTCGTCATTGGCCTCTGATGTATTAATTGTACTGCTGTACTTAAAATCTTACTCTATTTACATGCATGGACTAAATTTGGCAGAATTGCAGTGCAGTATAGACCAGCGAAGTGTCGCAATTTTATCCGCGAAATTTTGATTGTGGAAGGGTCTGTCGAAATTCATAAAGAAAATATTTGAGTGTGATGACGCGTTGTCCAACTGAAACACAGTGCAGCGTCCGGTGTCTAGAGAAATAAAATTTGACCAGTGACGAATCGCCTGAAAAAACATAGTGTCACGGAGTGACAGACGCTATCCTTGAAATTTCATGTAAATGTGTTATGTTTTATTTCTGATGTGATTATTAATTGATGACCGAGAAAATGCGGGGGAAATTGTAATACAGTGCTTCTTTTCAAGTCACGTTATATACTGTACTCCTGAAGTCCGAGTGAATTATTGAAGTAGCATTCGAAATAGTGTACGATGTAAAGGTTCCAGTTTTACTTTTAAACAAAGCTGTGACATTTTCTAGCTCGTCATCGCCGCCAGTTGCGATGTTGCATCGCGGGTGTGTCACGGACAATTTTTAATAGAACACATTTTTTAAACTCTATTTTAACGGAATGCTGATGGAATACGGTTTCACGCAAATTTTCTTCTTGGTGATTTCTTCAGGGCTTGTTGGCGCTTCTCAAGAAACTCCGTTCGTCGCCGGAACAAGAATTGCGGATCCTGTTGCTGGGGCTCGACAACGCAGGGAAAACAACGTTGCTGAAGGTACTGGCTTCGGAGGACATTACTCACATCACACCCACGCAAGGGTTCAATATAAAGGCAGTGCAAAGCGAGGGTTTCAAGCTGAATGTTTGGGACATTGGCGGACAGCGCAAAATTCGCCCGTATTGGCGACACTACTTTGAAAACACTGACGTTCTGGTGAGTCCCTTCATTGTTGATGTCGAATTCTGGCACATCAGTGTCAAACCTGGAGTTAGTGCCGAAAATTTCCCTCTATTGTGTTCATTCAGGGAAACCCGGATGTCAACTCAGTTATAGTGCCACAAAAATTCCATGTGGATCGTTGATGCAAGAAAGGGCGAAATCAAAGAAATTGAGGCTTTTCTCACTGGACATATCATTGGGTTATTTTTAAGAATTACATGCTGCATGTACATGAACTCACATTGAAACTCGGTATAATTTTAAAGTTCTACTTCTGAATTGACAAAGTTTAAAAATATTTTTATTTTTGCACAACACCTTCCTTTATCGAAAATTTTATGAATTGGGAGCTTTCCTGGAAATGGGGTTGATTCCTGCATAATGGCACCTTCATTTAACAAAAATATCAAGTTTTCTGTCAAAAATGTTGATGAAATTGTATCATGCCAATTGAGGTACGTACCCCGTTTTTAGTGAATCTTAAATTGCAATATTTCAGAAATAATATCACTCAAATTCCGATTTAAACATAAGCTGAACCTGAATTCAACTGATTCTCAATTCTTTCCATTAAATTTTTTTTAAAGTTCAAGCTTTGTATTCCACAATTTCCCATTCAAATCAAGTATAATGCACATCTCAACTTGTTAAACTTTTGAAAAATGTATACTTACCTTTGACACACACCTATTTTTTCCTTCTGAATTAAAAAAAATTTGTCCGTGTTACTTCAATAAACAGTACATTCAGTCTTGCTAAATAAATTAAAATACAGTATAATACATGGTATTTGAGCTTCAAAGTATTTCTCGTGGCTTTCTCTCTTATGAAATCAGACTTGGTGGCCTAACAATTCAGCAAACAAGCTTATTTTGCCTACATTGGAGACCCTGAAATAACTGGACTTTTCTCTCATACAATTCAATTTTGTGCTACTGTAATGCAATAGTACAGCTATTTGCTATCATTTTGCTGGTAAAGCCCTGCATTTTTTTATTATGTTCTCATTGCAATATATTGCTGATGTATATTTTTTATTTGAGCTGAAATATTTCTCCTTTTTTTACAGATTTACGTGATTGACAGCGCGGACAGACGCCGTTTTGAAGAAACCGGTCAAGAATTGGAAGAACTGTTGGTGGAAGAAAAGCTGGAACGGGTTCCTTTGCTAATATACGCAAATAAGCAAGATCTTCTCACAGCTGCTCCTGGGGCTGAAATAGCTCAAGGACTCGGATTGCACAATCTGCGGGATCGCATTTGGCAAATTCAAGCATGCTCTGCTATCAAAGCTGAGGGAATCAAGGTATTGAATGATTCACAGTGAGGCCCCAAAAGATGCGGGCGTAATTGGTGCTTGGACCTTGTCCCTATGTCAGAACATACACATGTCAGATCTCATTTTCCCAAGTAGAATTCGAGGGGAACATTTAATTGGTTCTCCAGTTCATCAAAAATTAGGAATAATCCCCCCCCCCAAAAAAAAAGTAAAATGGAATGTGTTTTCCAACTCAAGGATGCAGAATATAACACTTTCAAATAAATAAAACCAGACAGAATCTGATCTTCTGGCATCAAAAGGACTCCAAAAAGTAAACAAGAAGCACATGTCTTGCTTTTCTGAATTAACAAGATAGAAAATACTCAAAAAAGCAAAAAATTGACCTGTTTTTATTTCAAATTTGAGTAAATATATAGTATAATGAAATTAATTTTGAGGCTTCAATACATGTATTCTTCTTGTGAATATAAATAGCTCAATTTTTTCCAGAGATGTTCAAATATTTTCATTTTTTCTGGAAATGTTGGAAAAGTGTAATACAGGTGGTACCTTGCAATTTGACCTCTGCCACAGAATTTGACCTGCTTTGGCCTCTTTTTTTGCAGTTTTGTGCTGATATTTCTCAATTTTATGAAGTGTCTTGCAATGCAACCCTAGTCTATTGACAGATCAGGGTTGAATTGCAAGGTACCACCTGTATGTTGAAATATTGTCCAGATGTTGGGTCAAATTTTCTCAAGTCTCAATAAGTGTCCCCAATTCAAATCATCCCTGTATGTGAAGTTGTCTGTATTTTGGGACCTCACTGTCTTTGATCCACTTAAACTTGAAGAGTTATATGTATGTTTCACACTGTTTCGTTTCAATTGCAGGAAGGATTGGAGTGGGTGTGTAAGAACATCAAGAAGAAATAACAGGAAAACGAGATCTCAATTCAAAGTTGCTTTTCCGTCAATCAACGCTTGTCTGTTTCGGGGAAGTGTTGTTCATTCTTTTTCTCACACGCTGATTGGATTTTTGTGATCTTCAGGAAAAGGGATTTTCCGTCCATTGTGTGTGTGTATGTGTATGTGATGGCTATTTATCGCGGTGTATAGCCATGATATAATTGGAGTTTCCTGGTACAGCAACGCACAATAAGTTGCCCGAGGCGATCAGGGCATCGTAAGAACATAATCAACTGTACACTGTATGCACCAAAAAAAAAAGACCGTCCACCAAAAAGTTGATGGAACTGTTTGTTTGGAAATCTAGTCAGGTTAATTTCTGGGGAAAATTTGTCAAGAGTTTCTTCGCACTAAATTCATTTAATTAGCTTGTGTTGTTCATGTGTATTCTAAAATGTATTTTGATGGTTTCTTTTTTTTTCAGGAGAACTGAGCTGTGGTTTAGTGAGCATATAGTGCAACTTATAGTGGCATTAATTCCCATGATTCGTGTATAGTGTCTAAAGTGCAGGTATTTGTCCCTGTGTTTGGATCCTGTGATCTTGGAGCTCATGTTGACACAGTCATGTGGTAGTTTCTTAGGTGAGTGAAAGAAATCAAACATTTTAAATGAATTTTAGTATGATATTAATGTTGGGTTATCTGACCTCGTACACTTGAACCTCAGTAGCTCACTTGGTGTTTTTTTCTAGTCCCTGTCTGGATTTTCTTCAAAACCATGCATTAACCCTTGTGCGGCAAAGTCAGGATATTTTTGCAAAATGTTGTGCCCATGAGCACAGACAATTTAAAAAATGTAATTTTTGTACCAAGGCCTAAGTTGGAAAAGTCCAATTTTTTTCTAATCTTGCAGAAAAATTTGCTTCAGAAGTATAAAAAATTGTTCAGTAGGCGGGTTTTTCAGGAATTCCTTGCATAGAATTAGCATTAGAGATTTTTAAAATACAAATGGATCCACCCTTCCCAGATTTTTTGTGATTTAGGCATTCCCAATCTGGGCACATTTCAGTGACCTTGTGTCAAACTGAAAGGTGCCCCAAAAAAAAATCCTGACTTCACTGCAGGATGGCCAGGAACCCTCTGCCATCCAAGGGTTAAAAACTTCCCTAGCTGAAAGGCTTTCACCTTGAACCTCCATAACCCTAATTTTTTGGAGGCCTTTTTGCTATCATTTTATTGACACAGGAAGAAGAAAAGCAATAAAAATGCAACTTGATGTGTTTTTCAAGGAAGTGAATGACTAATTTGCCAAATGAACTGATGCCTCCAAGTTCAGCATCCTGTCAACTCATTTTAAAAACAATTTGAGGCCTAAAATATCACAAATTACAATTTCCTGTACAATGATTCTTTTTTTTTCACCAAACACAAATGCCTTACTTCTAATTTTGTATTGCCCCTTATTGAAGTTGAATTTTGAAAGGTTTGAGTGTTATTAACTATTTTCAATGTTTCTGATTCTAAAAATACAGTATCCTTTCATTCATTTTAAACTTGAAATGTTGACAGTGTTGGGGTCGGAAGCAGGTTTATGGCTCTTGGCAATCAACGGACTCCAGTTCCCGTCGGGAAACGGTCGTCAATTGGTGGCGGATTGCAAGCCTTGCGTCTGAAACGCCCCGAATTAGCGATTCTACCGCCTTTGCTGTCGCCGCCATCTGAAGCCACCGGCAGGCGCCGTCGGAGCGCCGATGAGGACAAGTCCAAAATGGCTACTGCAGAAACTGCTGCTCCCATTCTCGATCGCATGGATATAATCAAGGTTTATATATACTGTCCTTAGAGAGGGGTTCCGACATGTGGACATTTTGAACTCATGAAATCTGCCCAAGCAGACATCTGAAGATGGTCTCAATTAAGATGTATGAGCGACATTTGCCAAAATGTCCAGATTATAGAATAATGAAAAAAAATTATTTTAACAATTTAAATGTCTCTTCTGAACAAACAATAAGTGAGCTTATTAATATGGACATGAAGTCGAAATAAATACAGGTGGATTCTCTATACCAGTGTTCCCCAACCTGTGGTCCTCAGACTGGTGCTGGTCTGCAGAAGTATTTTTGCTGGTCCACAGTGAATTCTGTTGTTATTTTTTCTGAAATGTCATATAGACCATGGCAGTGGAAATTATCTGATGAAAAAATCAAAGTTGGATTTCCTCCTAATAGCACTAAAAACAATGTTTTACCTGCTGGAATGAATTATTTGCATTTTTTCATTGGGTGTGTGTCTTAATTATTCAAGGGTGGTTTTGGTTCTCAAGCAGAACTTCTATATCTTTAGTTAAAATGTTGCACATGGTGTTCTAAATAAATACTGTAAACTGATGCGGTGCATGCATTTACTGTAGTGCCTTGTTGGTTGACAATAAGCCCTGTCATCTACTATAATATATTTTTTATTTATCTATGTTTATACTTGTTCGGGTTAAACTTATTAATTTTCGAATTCATCCCGTTATTTTATTTTTTTTTCATTTTTAGCTGCTCGCGAAGTCATCGCAGAAATCGTCAACTGCAGAGAGAATCCGGCAGCTAGAAAGAACCATCGTCTTCCTGCAAGATAAACATCAGGAACTGCTTGCTGGTTTGCACAAGGAGGTCAGATCGCTGAAAGAGAAGAACAGAGGCGAGTAAACAAAGTCTCGCATTGATCTTATGTAAAATCTTGAACCTGTCTATAATTCTGCGGTGCCTTCATTTTTTGCAGATTTAATATACAAGTTGACCCTGAAACAAGATGGCTGGATTGATGGGAAGCCATTGAAAAACTCGGATTTGCAAGAAGTTCGCCCGGGATCTGCGAATAGATCTTCGCTAGCTCAGATCAAACTTCTTGAGACTCAATTGTCCGAAGCTCAGACGAAGCTTGGGGAGGCTGTGAGCCGCAATCAGTACCTCACTAATCTTCTTGACAATATAAAAAGGTGCATTTTGTGAATACCGTATTTACTTGAGAACCACAAGCCCTGTATTGAGATGTGCACAAGGATTTTTCAGTTGAAAATTTTCATAAAATTCTAACCTAGATTAAGACGCGCATTCCATTTTTATAGTGACTCAAAAAGCAGCACAATGCAGACTTTGAAAAAATGAAACGCCCAAATTTGAATTCGGTTATTGAACATGGATTCAACTACATTCAAAGCTTAATAAACTCTTCGAGTCCCTGTCTGAGTCCCCATGAAAAAAATGTATCTGAAAACCTCCCTAACTCAAAGGCTTTCCTATGCTCAAATGTCTTTATCTCAAATTTTCTGGAATCCTTCCGGAGATTTTTTATTGACACAGGAAGGAGAAAAGCAAGAAAACGTTATTGCGATGCATTTTGAAAGAAATTTAAAGATTATTTGAGAAATTAATAGAAGTTGAGCATCGTGTCAAGTCATTTAAGAAGCAATTCCAGCCCTAGAATATCACCAATTAAAATTATCTTTAATTCATATTTCTTTTCTGCTGCAAAAATGCTTCTTTTCCAAACTCAAAACCTCCCTGAGTCAAATTGTTTTTGGTGGTACCATGAATTTTGACTTACAGAGGTTTGACTTTTGGTTCAATTGGTTCCATGAAAATAAATGTTTCTTTCAATATTGATCCAAAATTTCTCATTGGAATCAAGTACTGATGATGACCCACACCTAAATTTGCAAAACTTTTTGGAAAATGTATACCTACCTATGATGATCATCCCCCTCCCCCTTTTTTCTCAAATTTGATTTTAAAAAAAGGTGCGCATGATTCTTGAGTAAATATAGTGATTTTTCTGCAAGTTGGGAAACAGAAAGCAAATTTTAATGTTTTTTTTTTTTTTCAGGAATGTACACGATGATATTTCCGCCGCAAATGAAAGCAATGCTGGGGCAGTTACGCTTCCTCAACAGAATGGTTTTGTACAGCGTTCAAGTACGCAAATAAGTGGTCTCACCATGGAGGAAGCTGGATCAATCATTTGTGCCTTAGAGACTAAGAATGAGGACTATCGAATGGAAGTGAGTCTCGCTCAATGGTTTTACATGTGAAATCAGAAACATTTTATCATTCTGTTGAGATCAATTCATTTTCAACTTGGAAAAAGAATGTTTTGAATAAGCAATGAGAAACAGTGCAGAAAAACTGTCTCTTCCTTTTCAAGCTACAGAAAGGTTTTTCCAATTGCAAATGCATAAATCAAATTTGAAATGCACGGGGGGCCTCAAACTGTGGAAAATTATCTTTATAGTGTAGAAATGTGAAGAACTGACAGAAAATCGGCCTTCTATGCATCTGGTCAATGGGTCAAAATATGGTCACAACCACAAGTTGTCAAGAATTGCAAATTTTCATTTTATCTTTCAAGATTTTCATGCCTCTATATTCTAGATCTGGAACAATTAATGCTGCTGCTGCCTTGTACAATAAGTTAAAGTTTTGAATGCCATACCCATATTTTGTGAGAAATGTTTATGTAGCAGGTGAATGTTTTTCAATCAATCCGCACTGCTGATGCATCTCCAAACTTCAAATTTAAAATCAATCCCTGGCCAATTTTCTTGAGTGTTGAGACCAATGCATTTTCAACCTACAAACTTAAAAATTGACCTGAATTCAAATTGTCAAAAGTGTCAAAGTTAATAACTTGAGGCTACATTATTGTAGAACATCTGTTCCAGAAAACCGAGGAAATAAGTACAAGTTATTGTTCGAATGACTTTTACAATGGATTAGGCAACTTTCAATGTGCAAGACATATATAATTACTTTACTTCGCAGTTTCAATAATTAGACATGAAAATATTTTCCTATTAACCAATTGGACCATGTTCCTCAACTCAAAATCTTCATTTTTCAGTATGCTTGAAAGAAATTTAGAAAATATATTGAATTTTCCTTTTTAATGCAGATGGACTCTCTCTGCAACAATCTTACCTAAAGCAATTTCCTCTGTATAATGAATTTTTTCAGCTCCATGCTGAGGTTTTCTCCCCATATTATAGGTGTTCTCTAAAAAAAATTTTTTCTGGTTTCTTGACATTTTTTTATAGACTGAGTCCACCTGCTGTAGAGTTGAATCTTCTGTTCTTTTGATTTTTGGTCTATTTTCTTTGTGAATTCCTTCAAATGTTATTTCCAACGCTGACTTTTGAAATTAATGTATTATGCTTTGAACTTTTAGACCTCCGCTTTTTTGCACGGGACTAAATTTTATTGAAAATTCCCTTCAACAGATAAAAAGACTGCGTGCAGAGCTTATGAATGCGCTGAGCGAAAATGAGAAACTGACGCAGGAAGCTGCCGGCGAAAGTGGGCGATGGACCAGAGTGGATGTGAAATTACCCGACCATAGGGGTACTGCACAGCACGCAAGCAACTGCCGGTTGCCCAAGATTTCTGGATCGGAACCCGTGGATTCGAGACAATCAACCAGCCACAGTTCACGCTCCAAACGGGAGTAAAAGAAGGAAAAATGATTTCACTTTCTTTTTCTTTATGAGAAAGAATAGACTTAGGCTTTATAGTAATTATTTGTGTTCACCCGAAATTTTGAATTTGCGTTTAACAGCGGATTGTATCAGCCAGAACGGGATCATGTGATATGTTGCGAAATTTTACGACATTAAAATGCAAGAGACTGAATCATGAAACATACTTCTTACTGAAGATTTTATGACATTATTGTAAAAGCTGTCCTAAATGTCTTCTCACTAATTCATGATCTTCATATGGTGTGGTCCGTTGAATACTAGAAGTAGTACTACGCCACATAAACAAACTTATGCATTGGTGATTTAGCTTAACTCAATATTCTCTCATACTTTCTCACTAAGTTGTATAATGTACTGCATATTTGTGTCCAACTAGTCTTCATAACTTACCTGTGACGCTAGTGGTCATAGTAGAAGGGAATCTCATCATAACAAAGCACTTAAGGACCTTGAAAAAGCTTCATCATAAATGAAATAAGAATTACACAATGGCCATTGAACAGGGACACAAAATGAATTTGTTCCATAAATAAATTCGATATAAAGAAATTATACTGTACTGTACCAAGTCAAATATTGAACACTGATGGTATCTTTGATGAAATACTGTAGCAGTACAGTAATTTCATTAACCACTGACTGCAACTGATGGTCATTATATCAACATAATGACCTTCATGCAGAGTATTAATATACAGTACTCCAAGAAATGATGTTTTTGCATACGAACAAGTACTATGATCTGAATTATTCTAGTAGGTTCAGTTTATAAATGGAAGTAAATTACCCTGAAATAAGTGAATTACACTTGAAAATTGGATACAATTAGATAATGACGCACATGCAGAGGCATCACTGAAGGTCGTCTTCAACATCATCTCGAGTTCTAAACTTCAATACCACATCTTGAGAAATTACAGCTGCAAGGAGTATGAATATTGTTTTTAATCAATCATTCACCGGAATATAAGACATGCAACAAATGAACAACAAGATTCATTGAATCCCCTATAGTACCCCTCATACGAAAGACCCGCTTTAAAAAAAACGTTAAACAGGGATTAACTTTAATTTTATAATTGCACCACGAGGAAAATCATGGGTCTACGAAGATTTCCCCGCTTTTGACCATCACAGATCCCTCAGGAACCCTTTTGAGGAATGACTCAGTTTAGGTAGATTGCAAAATTTTGCATAGACGCCTAAATTCACCTAAAGTTCCACGCAGGGCCTTGATGATGCCATCAAGCTTCTGTCTTTTTTGACTGATTGTACCTGGAAATAGGAAAATGCGAGAAAACCATGTCAGTTGATTAAAACGTTAGGAACCAGGGATAGCCTACCTGTAAATTCTGACGACCTGATAGAGACCAGTCAGTCCAACAAAGAAGTTGACTGCGAACAAACTCCAGTTCTTCGGGGTAATGACCAACGAATACCTCGACCAGATGAAACCAGTGGCTGTCAGAGCTCCTGACTGGTTGATGCTCAACTTTTCTGCAGGTCGGGCCATATCACCCAGGCCAGCACCAACTAGTCCCTAGAAATGTAATCAAATTCAATAGTGACCATTTTAATCAAATGGAAAATTCAACATTGTCAATGAAAATTATTCACTACACAGTTCAGGGGTCAAGACCACTGAGACAAATTTGTGGTGGGGCCTTTGCTGTGAATTACAGACACGTGTACAAAACAGTAGCAGTTATAGCCTACTCGTTGTGGACGACCTCATTTCTTGAACAAGTGACATCTATCATCACGCGTCAACAAACCTCTGACTTGGACTGTTCTGCAAGAGTAATATAAAACTGATCATGTTGGAAGGCCAGCCTCTCTTCAACAATACTTAATTTCTCTGAACAGTGGAAGAGGAACAAAAAACACTCAATGGAGATAACCATTCAACTAGAAATTACTTCATGAGGAAGAGCATGCACGTAAACTTCAGGGTGGCTGAACATTTTCTCCCCGTTCGCTTTCCATAAAATCTGAGAACAATTGGCTACTTAATTTACTTTTCAGGAAACAGGAAGCACAGAAAAATCTTGCTACAACAAAATTCTGGGGACCTCAGAGAAATTTCGTTTTACAATACAGTATTTGAAAGGGCTCATTGGAAAAGAAACTGAAATTTCCACCCACTATCAATCTCGGCAAATAACTTCGATGGTATAGTTCAAATGTCCTCACCCTTTACTCAAACGCAAATTTTTGAACTTGGGAATACATAGCATGATCTGATTAAGATTCCTTTACTTCAATAATGAGGCAAGGGTTACAACAAAAGAGGAAATCGATTATGGTTGTATTTTAGAATACGCTAATGTATAACTGATCCTCAAAAAATTATCAAAATCTGGTGCTGACGGGGGGGAGGGAGGGAGAATTATTTTACTAAATAAACAAAAACGACATTGAAAAGCCTGTCAGCTAATTCGAAGGATTTTATGAAAACGAACTAACATTTTACAAGAAATACTGAATCTTGACAACCAAAATAACTCACCCATTTTGCCAGAGGAGCCCAAAAGTGGATTGTTTTTGGCCCTGCAGCAGAGAGAAATCATTTATACAATAAATTGACATAAAAGAGACAAAACTACAGAAACAAAATACCTGCAGGATGGTTCCAAACGGCGTGGTATTTGTGCGGTACAAGCAGATCAGCTCGTTTTATGAGTGACCAGTATAATCCTTTCATCTGAAATCATCACAAAAAAAGTAACACTTCATTATTCCAAACTGAAAAGATCTTGATGAGTCTTGCAACTATTCCCTGTGCAATGAAAAATTTTGTGAACCACATGAAACATCCCCTATTTTGTCCAGTTTGAGGACATATTCTTTGGATCTGTGTAGATGTCGCTGGCACTCCCTGATATTTTCATGTCACACAAAATCACATTTGCATCTTGATCCAATCCTATATGTACATATAAAGGGCAATTGGAATGCCACTCACTTAGCATCAATTGCTAATCCAAGTTTCAAAATTTCCATCATCATCTAATTGACGTGCATCTTTCAATTTATAAACTGCTGAGGGAATTACCATATGTACTCAAGTAGCATACACTCCACTAATTAAAATGTACACTCATATTTTTGATTACCAAAATGTTCAACATTTCAAAAATGAACAAAACAGGAATAAAAATGCAGGCAGAATCAAAGATGAAATGAACTACTGTCAACTTGAGTTAACTTCATCTGCTTTAGCATGACTGGTAAAAAAAAGATAATTCAGCATTGACAAATTTGCAAGAAGTATAGATGAACAAGAAACATTTTTTGGCAAAAAGCTTACATTGCACTTGTGACGCGTATCCATCACCAATGTCCTCAATCTGTTTTAAATAATGTCATGGGCTTCTTGAGTAAAGAGCTCTACTTTCTTCAATTAATAAACAATGTTTTTAAAAATTCCTCACTGCACATTGAACAGCCATGACATAAAATTCCCTCACCTCTGTCAGTCAGCGGACTTGAAACGCCTTAAAACTCACAAAACACAAAATTATCTTCAATCTGAAAGCATGAGAAACAACCACATCATTAGTGAGAAGATTAGCAAAATTGAAAAGACGCAATTAACTTGTCTAAAAGACAGAGTAAAAAAATAGACAAATGTTTCAAAAAATTACACAAATGTATATATCGTTTCCCAGTGAGCCCCGTTCGTCGAAACAACAAAAAATCCATGAACTGCTTCCGCATCCCAACTTCCAGGTTCGACCATGAGTCCATGGTCCGATTTCTTCCTCATAATTTTTTTTCATTTTCTTCCCCCGGAGTGCGAAAAAACTTGAGCAGATAACACGTCCAATACAAATACTTTCTCCTTTTTCGCAGGACGGATTCAAATTCTCAGGAACCAAAAAAAAAA